ATTCTGTGTGCTTTGCCTCTAACTTGTGTGCTCTGGTGCTTCTGTGTGCTATCTATCCCCCCTCTTCTGTTCCCTGCCATCTTGTCTCTTTTTACCATCTCACTTTGGCCAGCTCTAGGTCCTGATTCCTGCTCTATTGGTATGGAGGAATAACTGTGGTATGTAGGCTTTCCTGTCTGCTCTGCTTCTCTGTGTATGAGCTCTACTGATGATAATGGTAACATTCACTGCTATCATTCACAGCTAGAAACCTTCCCCCCCCCCCCGCAGTGATATGTTCTGTTATGATCAACAATTAAATGCCTGCAAGGCCAAACTGGTGTAGAAGAGTTTGTTCTCCTACTGAAAGTCTGAAAGGAAACTTCCCTTTTAACTATGTTTCTTATCTATTGATTGTTTCCCCTTTTTCCCACCCCAGGGTCATCAGAAAGCCTGAAAAGTCAGAGCACAAACTGCTCCAGCCAGCCTCTCCTGTGTCCCACGAGCAGCCTTCATATGGAAGATGAACATCTCATCCACTAACTCCTCCCATCTTTGCTTCAGAGATCATCCAGCTCTGTCATTCCTTTCACCCCCACAGCTCAGTCTTCTGCTTGCGTGATCAGAGCTGACAACAGCCCCGAAAGGAAGTTAACAGGAGTGAGGCAGGACTCTGTTTATTCCATCAGCATCTCTTGACAAAACAAAAGAAATTGGACTGTCGCAAAGATGTTTGTGATGGCTTGTTCTATGACTGAAGTTTAAAAAAAAAAAAAAGATCAACTCCCCCCAGCTTTTTATTAACTCTTGAATGGTCTTCAGTCGTCGAGTTGTTGTTTAGTACTGAAATTTCACTACCTGTCATGGTGGTGCTTTTAAGCGCACTTACTTTAAATTAACGCTGTATCAAAGTTTTTGACACTAAATTCTAAAGAATTCATAAATAAGGATTGTGTTTGGAAATCAGTGAAACACTTTAATAACTTGACACTTTAATTGTTTTATTCCTGTCAGGCTGATTTATGGGCTAAAGTTTGTATTACTTGTGTATCCGTGTGGCCATTTGAGGTGACTTTGCTCTCCCAACAAAATCAGTTATAATTCATTCCTCACAACAAAAGTATATAATGACATATGTCTTAAGCTGTCTGTTGTCTAAAACATCAACACATGGTTTTATCATTTCAAACTATATATCTATGTATTACAACTAGAGTCCTGTGTAGTTGCCTTTAAAATTGTACATTTTTTATATATATATGTTATATAATATATAAAAAAAATATAAATAAAGGAACTACATTCAGTTAACATGCACAATATTTAAGACTTTGATAATCAAAAAGAGCTACAGATTTACATCCTAACAGCTGAACTCAAAGATAGCTAAAGCCTGCTACAAGCATAGATGCTGCACCTACATGTTTGCTGACTTAGTGTGGCACAGTAAGGGTGCTCGTGGTATATAAAAGTCCCTTTTTTTCTGTGGCAATGCCAGTGTCTGCTTCTGTGATGTAGCTGCAAAAAAGGGGGTCACGTGTTTGTGTGGCTGCAGCGACTGTACTTACCTTGGTTGTGTACGTGTAGCACACTGCATATAGATCTATGTGCCTTGAATTAATGTGGCTGCCTGCTTGTTGCAATGGACATTAGTGTTCTTAAAAATGCCACAGTATACAACAGTTTCAGCCCGTAGACAGGATTTTTTTTTTATGCTGATGTACAGAGCCTTTTTTTCGTATCGCAAACTTCATGCTACTGGAAAAACGTATCTTGTTATTGAGCAATATTCAATTGAACTGTTCATTTATTATGTTATTGCCATGTGTTGATTATGCATTCAATATTAGTGTTTAGGTTCAAGTGGGTTCTCCTCGTAACATTTGTGTTTTTGAAAGGAAGGCATCCGATGCAATAGATGCAAAGGCAAATGCATCTTAATAATTGGGCTCGCATTTGCATGTGAATTTGTAGATGCTTAAACCTCTAACTCCTTTGAATGCTTTTTTTTTTTTTTAACTTTTGGTAACGTGCTTATTTTGTCTTTACCCCCTCCTTTTCTGTGCCATTTCAACTTGACACTGTGCCTTCCTGTTCTGACCACTGTTGACCTGGTATCCAGGATAACTCCACACTAAGTGGTATTTGGCTCTCTGTAAAATCAATACCTGTCTCTTCCCGTGTGTGTATAGCAGCATGTGTATAACAATAAAGAAAGAGTCATTACTTCAACTGCAAGTTGTTTGCTGATCATCACAAGAACACAATTCTATTAAGACAATATTATGCTGTAGAGCTCACAGATTACAGTTTAATGCTGACAAATGTACAAGTTTTTGACAGTAAAACGGTGACATTTGCTACTGTGTAGATGTAGGAAATTAGCCCAGAAGTTTAAGGCATTCAGAGTTTTACAAGGTAATTACAAGCATCGTGAAGAAAAGCACACACGTTTAGTAGTGGATGAAGAACAGAAGAGATGTAAAATGATGTTTGCAGTCATCACTCAATATCAATTAAATCTGTCAAGCCTCAGCTGAAGATGTTGGTCCTGAAATTGATAAAAACATACAAATCTGTGTTCTTTAAATGTAGACAAATACTTGGTCACACCCAAAAAGGTTCAGTAATAGCACAGTTTCCTATGTTATGCACTGCGTCATGTAAAAGGATGAAAAGCAAAGAAAAATTCAAAGCTATCAAAGTCTGTCCTCTCTTTTTTTTTTCTTTTTTGCTGTGTGCACAATAGCAAACAGAATACTGGCAAGTCTAGTATCAATAAATATTATGTATATTATCAAATAAAATTAAAAGTGTGCATACTCTTTTATTGTGTATAAACATGATAATAAGGAGTCTTCTGTCACAGTGAACACTGCTCTCTACTGGCCACATGGCCAAGGAAATGTGCAGCTTTGGATCACATTTCAGTGTATTTTTCACAGGGACCGTTGACTGTGAAGAAGGTCTAAGTGAATTCTCTATCCTGAACCTACATATGCATGAATGTGCAAATATATGTAATGATAACACACATAGGAGGTTACACCCATATTAAAAAAAACAAATCACCAGAACATCTAAAACATGAAGTCTAGTCTGATCTTTAAATAAATGGATATAATGTATCCCAGAAGAATAAATAAATGAACGACAGCTCATTTCAGTAAGAATTTTCCACCCGTCTGGTGCAAAATGTCTCAGAGCTTTTCTGCAGTCATGATTAGCTGCTGCCCAGCTCAGACAACAACAGCTGTAAGCCAGTTTAAAGTTTAATGAGGATTCAGTTACACAAGCTCGCTTCAAGCTAGCCTGTAAAAACATAATACACTGTAAAAATGTGCATGTGTGCAGTATGTCTGTATCCACACACACACGCACACATTAGATTAGATCTATGACACTTTGGTCAGTGGGTCAGTGAGGCTAATTTACATAACGTCAGAGTTTAAGCAGCTTTCACATGCTTACACCTTTGAGCGTCAGAGGTCCGTTTCCTTTTCTAAGTTTGTCTGAATGAGTGAAAGTCAACTCTGTCACTGTTTAACTGTAACAGTGTGTTCAGCACTGACAGATTCCCAGGTCAGAAAAGGTAACGCAATCTCTGGCCGTGTACATGCCTGACATCTGATGATCCGGCTCACATAGACGTTCTTGTATTTGTGATTAGCAGGCTGTCCAGATAACACAGAATAAATGAGATTTACAAAACATCATTACAGCCCAAGGCCAAAGGGAGGAGTGGTATGAAGCAGTAATCCTTTTAATAATAATGTTCCTTTTATAATAGTTGAGGCCATTTGGAGAAAGTATTTGTACAGCTAAATAACTGCAGTATAAAATATAAAAGTCTTGGGGCCAGAGAAATAAGGCTTAGGTCTTAACAAAGGAAAATCCAATGAAAAAGTTTATTAGATGAAGAAGTTAAGGAATGCAATGCATACACATCCACTTAAGATTTCTTATAAACAAGAATTTGTGATATAGAGCACTGTGGTTTTATTCCATGACATTAAGTGGTTTGCTGTAGAGTGAACTCAGAGTGTTCTACTGTTGTGCTGACAGCTAAACACGTCTGTGTAAACAGGTTTACCCAAGGCAAGCTGATGCTAGTGCGCTCTCATTTAATTAGCCTGTGCTAAATCTCTTTAAGGCATGAAATCCCCCCCACAGCAATCCACATAAAATCTCTCCTCCTTACTCGGTTCAGTCAAATTAGCCCGGACGCCCTTGGTCTCTAAAAACACGAGCATCACCACAACAGTCACACCATGTCCTGCACATCCCCACGCTGAACAAGACAAAACCCAGAGGACATGCAAATGTGCATGTGCCAATATCCATGTGCCCATGAAAACTAGTATCTAAACAACACGCTTTTTTTCATACTGAAGGTTCACAGTTTTACAATTAATCTGCCTGAGTTATTCCATCTGTGCGGGCAGGATATTACCATTACAAAAAGATATTCTAACACAGAGGGAAAAACTAAAAAAAGACTCCTGTAACTACTCTGACACGAGGTTGATTCAAACGTTTATCTCAGTGTTGGAATGATTAAAGCTTTCTGAATACTAATAAGTAAAAAATTCTCACTGAACTGCTGCAGCTACAGACTTGTCAATCTCTTAATGTGGCGGTGCAAACCAAATCCAAAGTATAAAGCGCATAAAAAATACAGCAAGAACAATAAAGTCTGCTGTTTAACGTTAGAGGATTTAAAGACTTTGGTGGCACGTGCACAGACAGCTATCCTACTTGGAAGCAGCCACTTAGAGATCAGTTAAAAAAGAGGAGGAGGGAGAGAGAGTGGGGGAGGCGAGAAGGTCAGCATCTTGCCAGCTGAGGTGACTAAGACTGGACTCAGCTGTGGGAAAAGCAGGACACGGGAGGTTTTGTTAGCAGGGTTTAACTTTATCTGACTGCTACTGAAAGTTCTAGTACAAAAAGGCTGGGAAAAAGGAGACAGATTCACAGGAGGAACTGTGTGAAATAATCAGAAGCTCCTGTTGTTGCTGTATTGAGGCATCATGACACAACAGGTCAGTGGCTTACTGTTCTTCAAACCCTTCTTTCAGAAGACACCTGTCAGGGTGGACAACCCTCTGCAACAGAGGCGGCACACACTCCCAGCCAGCGAGTTCAGGAACCTCACACCACAGGATGCCATCAGTGTGTTTGAGATTGAAAGAGAAGGCAAGTCATTGGGCAAGATCGTTGCATTTCATATAAGAAACATATTAATGTGTAACTTCATCTTAGTGCCATTTACAGAGTTAGTGAGAGCATATTTCTTTCATGCTTTCATTTTCATTCCTCCCACAAACTGACGCACTCTCTAAAATCCTCCCCAGCATTTATATCTGTGTCTGGAGAGTGTCCGCTTACCCTGGATGAAGTTCTTAACTTCCTGGGTCAGTGCCCTGAGCTGTCTCTGGGCTGGTTTGAAGAGGGACAGCTGGTAGCTTTCATCATCGGCTCTGGCTGGGACAAGGAGAGGCTTTCACAGGTATTTCACAATTGCCTGATTTTGGTGAATTGACTGTGATTCTGTGGCTCATTCATTTTCTTTTTTTTTCTTTTTTTAATAACATCACTTCTATTTAATCATGGTCTTCCAGGAGGCCATGACTCAGCATGTCCCAGACAGCTCTACTGTGCACATCCATGTGCTGTCTGTGCACCGCCACTGTCGCCAGCAGGGAAAGGGCTCCATCATCTTGTGGCGCTACTTGCAGTACGTGAGCTGCATGCCAGGCCTCCGTCGAGCTCTGCTGATCTGCGAGGATTTCCTCGTGCCCTTCTACCTCAAGGCTGGCTTCAAGGAGATAGGGCCATCAGCCATCACAGTATCTAACATGCACTTCCAAGAGATGGAGTACACTCTATGTGGACAGGCGTATTCACGGCGGAACAGCGACTGCTAGTCCTTCAGTCCTTACCCTGCACTCTCCACTCCACTTATTTCTAACATGGACTCTTGTCAAGCACAAAATACTGCAGCAGGAGAAAAGAGGACACGAATATAGCTGGCCTGGGTTCGGTATCCTAATGCGTCCCCTGATCCACTGACCACGGAGTTAAGTCTGTGTTAAGGCCTGAGGGGAACAACAGTGGATTTAGGTGCTCAAGCAACAAAATGAACCTGTTGCTTTTCTCAGTTATCTATTTATCTAGTCTTCTGTCACTTGTACAATAGATGAATAATGTTTTTAATTATTTATAGAAGGCAATTACTGTAAACAACATCTCAGTGTAAATACAATTCTATTTTTATAAACCATACAAATCCAAGCTGTAATACAATTCCATAGCTTGTTGCGGCTTTGTTTGAATTCTTATGAGTTTAAATACTTTAAAGCAATCTTCATCATGTGCTCAAGCAGTAGAGGCAGACATTTTCATTTTGTAGATTTTTTTTTACTTTTCTTTTCAAATACATGTGAGTAGACAGGTAGCTAAAACACTACCGTGTTCAAAACAGTAATCACTTCTTGAGAAGCAATAAACGAAAAAAAAAAGAGAGATAACATTCGAGTGCTCAGCATAATGTAACAAAAATATGGCAGTAGTTGGTACATTTATCAACAAGGCACCAAAGGTATCAATATCTGATTTTTGTCCCTGCTTTTGTATGAGGTTGCCTGGATAATAATATTAATAAATCTTTTGCCTGGAGGGTGAATGTACAAAAAAAAGGGAAAAGAAAATCTTCATTGTTCCAGCGCTGGCTTTTCTCATTTCTGCAGGACAGCTAGGTGTTTTGGTGAGGTTCACAAGTGCCTTAGCTTTGTTTCACTGGACAGTGAAGGAGTGATGATGAAAATAAGTCCTTACGATGAGTGGTATGGGTATTCATATTGGGTAAAATAACACAAGCATATTATCATAGTCCACATAGAAGAGGGAGACAATCCCCCAGCCAGTCCGTGTCTTTTGACCTGATGCCTTCCTGCAGTGCTCACACTTCAGTGGAGGTGAGCATTGAGGTCATACTTCTCGCAGAACTTGTCTGTAAAGGGTATGCAGGTGAGCAACTCGCACCATTCACACTTGATTGGGTAGACGTAGAAGAGCACCACGAGGCCTGAAAAGAGTCCAACAAACACCAGCAGGAAGATGATAATCTGGCAGCGTTTGCGGTACAGGTCCATGCGGCCAAAGCTGATATAGGGTAGGAAGGCGAAGGACAGGAAGAAGCCAGAGATGAAGCCACAAATGTGGGCAAAATTGTCGATCCAGGGCAGCAGCCCAAAGGCAAAGAGGAAGAGCACCACACACAGCAGCTTGGTGAAGGCCCTCCAGGGCTGCGCCAGGATCTGCCAGCTCTGAAACAGCTCCACAAACAGGCAGGCTAGAATTCCAAACTGCGAGCCAGCTGGACCCACCTGAGACAAAGACAGCATCGAGAGGGACACAGGCTTGAGAAAACACAATGAGCTGTTCAGTCTTTTATATCTGATCAAAATTACTTGTCATTTTGTGAAAGGTATTGTGTCTAGCTGGTGATCACCTCTGCTCTGTAGGGCAGGAAAATGGCTGAAGCTAAGTTGCCAGTGATGCCACTGAGTATGTAAATGATTGAAATGCGCAACCAGCCTGCCAGCTTCTCCAGATCCCTCAGGATGGTCATCTGGAAAGCCACCGACACCAGGCAGTGAAGGATTCTGGGAGGACAGACAATGACAAATAGTTCATATGTGTGACGAGTGTGATGCGCGAGTGAATGTGGGTGAAAAGCCGCACGTGTCGGGAAGATAATCCCTCTGTGTTGAAGAGGCAAGCCCCTCAAGTGCCGAGTGGGAATGACTTTGCTCAACAGCAAAATCAGCCTCCATCTCACTGAAGCTTAATGAGTTCGTGTAGCGAGGGCACTTTGTTTAATTACCCAGGAGAGAGATAAGAGACTGAATAAAGATGAAGCACTGCTCTTCTTAAGGTCAGCTCTTTGTGCTGCCTGACTGACAGGTCTAAACTACACCAAAGAGAAACTGACAGTCTGATATATACTGCGAATAATTGCAAGTAATGAATACGTGGAACACATGGAAAACAGCTGGAGTAACTTTAGCCAACTGCATATGAGGCACTGCTGGTTCATCTGATAAGAAGATTGCCCCTATCTCTCTAATGATATTGTATTATAATAACATTATTATATATACACTTTTAAACAGGAATAAAGACAGAGAACAATTAAATCCCCCCAACAATGGAGGGGAGAACAGAGCTTCCCTTGAATTTGTATTGCACAAATGTGCTGGTTTAAAAGAAAAATATGTATAAAAAAAGGAAATTCCTGAATGCTGCAGTTTTATAGGATGCGCTACCAACAGGGTAATGAACCCAGAGCTGCCAAACCAAAGAACATTTGCAGGAGTCAAATGTGGCAACGACAAGTGAAGCGTCAGCAAGAAGAATCAGAAAACTTGTCACTTCTCTGCCTATTCATGCAGCGTGCACTCCTGTCACTATCTGACACGTCAAATATTAAAATGTCAGTTTGGGCAACTGTATTTATATCTAACACATTATTGTGGAATATTTAGTTATTCAGTAAACTAAGGAACATTATTATTTACTAATTGCTTTATAGTTCAGTCGCACATAAGTAAAAATTGCCGGTTGTATGTAGAGCATGCACCACTCTCGCCTATGGGTGACCACTTGCAATTGCAAGGTAAACGAACACGTCACATGTCAGTTTAAAATCTTTTTGTGTTTACTTTACAAAACAGAAATAAACTACCCACGAGTTCTTAATTTGTATGTATTCCAGAGAAGCCATTTGCTAACAAGTGGCATTATGATATTACAGAGGATTTCCTGGAAATTCATCTTCATTTTGCCAAGCACCTGAACTTGGACTGGTGATATTATTACTTACTTTATGTGACTGCATTTGTGCTTCAGTAATAATGAAAGATGCATTAATTTGTGAAGTTTGTTGTGCCAAAAACTCACATAAGTATGAGAAACTTTATGATATTATTATTATATGCATATTATCTTATTTTCTGCACTATTCCAAAAAGTGTAGAGCACAGTTAGCAACCAATAAATATAATATAATTTAAAGAATGAAAAAGTCCTCCCTGCAGTACTCAGGTGCCTACATAATCAACTAGCCAACACTATTTCAACACTTCTTAACTGGCATATTCTCCCATTCAGTGTGTATTTTTTTTAATAAACAAACAGGAACCGACCACATATAATTCATTGTCTGTAAAGGCACTATTTGTCCTCACCTCCTTTTGTTGTCTTCTATTACCCATCTATTCATCTTTCATATATGTGTTGAGGATGCCTCTGTATTTGATTTGTTGTGATACGAGGACATATTGATACCAAGAGCTAATTTCCTTGTGTGTGGCAAACATCTTGGGCGGATAAACCTGCCTGATTCAGATCTTTTAATCATTTCTGTCTTCGCTGCTTGGTGCTAACACAGACCCTGACGTGGACCATTTCCACCGTCTGATAAGAAGAACAGGTCTGCTTAATTGTCCCTCTGGTTGGTGAAATTAGTTATTATTATTATTATTATTATTATTTTCTTTTTGTTTAATCCAGCTCATGTTAGAAATTGTCTTGAAACAATGACTAAACACCACAAAACCTGTTAAAACTTTCCAACTATTACTTTTAGTAGTGCTTGATTCTTTTGCCAGGTAGAAAGCTGAATGAGCAGCTACTGCCAGCGACTGACTCACCCAGCATGCAGGAAGAGTGAGAGCCAGAGCCTGTAAAACTGATCTGGGACCTCAGGGTTGAGGAAAGGCAACAGTCCACACACATCGTCCATGCAGTGCACCTAAAGAAAGGGCAGAACACGGTGTCATGACATAATAACATCACGCAGTCATAATGAAAACCCAAAACAAGGAATGGAAAAACTGGAAAGAAAGGCAGACAACTACACACTTCCTTAAACATAAAAAAACCCCCACATCTTTCTAATCAGTACTAAGTGTTTTTTTCTTCTTTTTTCTGTATTAAACAGAGTTGCTTACTTGAGAGCAAAGAGTAGCCTCCTCATGAAAGTAGCCCTTCATGAAGTCACAATATTCCCGGGATGTAATTTCACACCTTGAAGAAAGCAAACGGCATGTGTTAAGCAAGTGAATCAAGTGGTTATTCATCCAGTGTGCAATTTATTTGGAATAAATGTTTCTCTCCTCACCTCCCTTTGGTTCCAATGCAGCAGGGTCGGCCTGTGATGGTACAGTCTATATGAGGCAGGTTGGTATGGTTCCCTGTATTGTACCTGGTACAAACCTAAAAGCCAGGGAAAAGGGAACAACAGTCAATTTATCCTGATTATATCCAAGGCAAACATTTTAAAATAAAACAGAATGAATTCTGTAGTGTAAATTATTTTCTTTTACAACTCAGCTACACCAAAAACAAG